TTCTCCCCCCCCCAATAGGTCGATCTCATACGCCGAGGTACTTGGAAAAGGGGTCATGACACTGAAACCAGTGTCCCCCATGGGCCAAGGGAACCCACTCAACTTAGTGGGACAATTACCAGCACAACCCCAGGCCCAAACGGGCGCCCAATCACAATTGTCCAACAACTCTCAGAAGGGGTATGAACCCTCAACATCGATCTCAGCCTCGAAATCTCTGAGTCAAAAGGCAATGGCCTTCCTCATTTCAAGCACGCAAGTCAAAGCTAAAGTGAACATCTTCAAGCGGACGATCCCGGCAAAAGTAGGGGAAAGTGAAGATCAGGAAGAGGAGATATGGGAATACCTAGAACAAGATGAATCTAACTCTGAAGAAGTGTTTAATAACCACACAGTCCTCTTCTACTTTCCTCAAAAGTGCGCAGATATGTCGCCAAATGAGAAACGTTCTTGGGTCAGGGATACACTCAGATCTTTGGAGGAAATACCTGGCACAGAACCAGACGTCACGTACCATAAACGAGCACGAAACACAGTGGTGATAGTCTGTCCAGACAGAGCATATGCCCATTACCTGATCTCCTCAAAGGTGTGAAATGCAAGAGAGGAGTGGTGTCCGTTACCACCTGGAAACCCAGACGTTTCCCGCAACCTGAAGCGTCCAGACACAGACAAACCATGTTGCGGAACAATTTCTGGATCCAGTTCGACAACATTACGGAAGGTCTTCACAGCTTCATCGAACGAAGACTGGCTGAAGCTTATCCAAACAACCCAGTCATTGAATGGCTGGCCTCGGGCCCAGATTTTTTTGCCCCGAACCATGATTCAAGAATCGCGTTCCTTCAAGTCCCCTTAGGGGTTCCTCTCCAGTTCCCAGATGTTTGGCTGTTCCAAAAATCCAACGGCAAAAAAATGATGGTCTTCCTATCCACTTAAACCAACCATACTGGCGGCGCATGCCTTCCGCGGCGTCACGACACGTGCGGCGCAGAGCGCAGAGCGCAGCCGGCGCGTGCACGGCATGCGGCCTGTCTCTTATACACATCTAGATGTGTATAAGAGACAGGTGTGTGTGTGTGTGTCTCGTCATCCATCCATCCATCTCTCTTTTTTAGGGTTATCTTATCTGTCTATTCATAGCTTTGTGTGTGTGTAGGTGCATGATGTGTATTAGCATGGTTTTGGCATCCAAGTGCATTCTGACCATGGTTACCAACCGGATGTCCAGATCCCGATCCAGACAGTCCGGTGTCCGGTGTCCGGTTCAGAGGGTCCGGTTGGACCCCAATTTCGAAAAATTTGATTTTTTTTTTGGTTTGGTTTCCGGTTTGATCCAGACACGGGTCCGGTGTCTGTGTCCGGTTGTCCGGTTGTCCGGTTGTCCGGGTCTGGGGCGAATATTTACTTGGTCCAAAGTTCTCTCCGAACTGTCGGTCAAAAAAAAAATAAAAAATTTTGTCATTGGTAATTCTTGCTGAATCACACATGCAGTCCACAGAAGCCGAGTATCTGCTTTTTCCCTCTACTTTCCTATTTTCCGTCCCTCACACCTTTTTCAAAGTTTTTCTACTTTCATCATCTTCATGTCCCTTTACCTTTGTTTTTGCTTTTGTGCCCTGTGGCAGTGTGCATAGTACTGCATAATGTCATCAAGTCATGGATTCGCTGAATTTCGCTCCTTTGCTGTCTGCCCCTTCTCAACTCCTTCTTCACCTGACATTTGCTGTGTGAATTGTTGAATGGCTCAGTGGTACAAGAGGTGTCTCCAAGCTCTGGCGGTTCCCACGTTTGCAGCAGGGTTCTACCTTCCCCAGGTATTGCCAGGCTGTCACTGCTGTGGCCTTTTTTTTAATCTTAAAAATAACTTTAAATAAGGTTTCCGGAGTGGCACGGGGCCACTTGGCTGGCCGGGCCAAAAAAAAAAAAAAAAAAAAAAAAAAAAAATTATTTAATTTATTTTCGCTTTTTTTTTGCTGGGACCTTCTCTGGTCCTTGCACTGCTGGGCGGCCCGTGAAAACAGGGTGACCCGGGTGGCCCGGCTGGTAGCCTACCTTAGAAAAGGCCGACGGCCTTGAGATATATATCATCGTTGAACTGACCGGCCCTACTGTAGGTATTTCAGAATTGTCGCACTTTTACTCATCTGCATCCGTGGAGTTTGAACTCTGCACCTGGTCTGTATTTCAACAGTCCAGACTCCAGGGGTGTACCAACCGAGCTAGGCCAGTTGGTACACTGCTGTGCCCTTAACTTTGAGAAAAGTTGAAAAAACTGAGTTTCTTCTCCCTCCCAGTCACCACCACACCCCCATTTCTAACAGCTCGCTTGAGTCCCTTCATTTCCTACCTCGTGCCCAATGCCCTCCCTTCCCCAGTTTCTCTACAGGTCTTGGTTTCAGCATATAGCTGGAATGCGTCAAGAGACTCAAGACAGTCGATGAATCTCTTACATAAATTGATTCAAAATTTCAAACAATCACATAACGTGCTGAATAGCACGGCTGCATATGTGAGCAGCGCCGAGCACCCTTGATTTATCCGACTCGGCAGGCCGGATAATGCTAGCCGGATGAAGCCGAATAGAACGCACGGTCATTATTGCTGTATGTAGACCGAAAATTTCACCAAATATGGCTATATAATGACCAGGCGTTCTAATCGGGTGAAGACGGTAGCTGGATGAAGCTGCGGATCAAGTATATCCAGCGTAAAAAAATAGGGTGTTTTAACACTGTTTTTCAAAAAAAGCAAAAGCTCTCAAAAAAATCTGAAAAAAAAAGTATGTTGTAGACTTGTAGTAGATTATGACAATGCAAGCAACTTTTGACTGGAGGTCATTTCAAAAGTCCTAACAGATCTGGAGATAAAAAATATATTATATATCATCATGGTTCATCATGGTTACTTCGGACCCGGACACCGGACCGGTCCAGACGTCCTGCCAGACCTGTGTCTGGACTGCTCCAGACCATCGCTCATAATTTTTTTCATTTCTGATCAGTAACTCATGTCATAGTTTCTTTTTTTCCGCGGAGTTGGCAGGAGAACAGAGGATGTGTAAGGACTCTTGTGTACACCATATGTGACAATAGGATGGGCTTGCAAACAAAAACAAAGCAAACCAAGTGAAAAGATAACACGCATAAAGATGTGAAGACTAACCAAAAGGACCTACCGTCTTCACCCGAATAGAACGCCCGGTCATTCTCACTGCATCTGGACTGCAAGTTGGGCCAAATGCAGCTATAGTGACCAGGCGTTCTATTCGGGTGAAGATGGTAGCCCCATGTGGTTGAAAACTTGAAATGGTGATGCACACGTCACGGTCGAATCGGTTCGATGAACATGAGGTCGATTGTCAATCTGGTCAGATCGATAGAACACTGATAGGAAGCCTAGGGGTACACCTTTCTGTTTTTTTTTTTGAAGCTGGGGAGGAGGAGGGGGGGGGAGGGGCGCGGGGAAGGGAGATCAAAAAGCCAAACAGCAGCAAGGCAACTAAATACAAGGCAAGTGTGCAAGAAGGCGGCAACGCAACAAGTCACGGGCCAAGCAGGCAGGCAGGTAGGCAGGCAGGCAGGAAGCAAGCCGACATGGTGGAAGCGCCACAAGGCAGCGAGGGTCAACTTGTGCCGTAAATGATTAAAACAAAACTTTAACAAATATCACACATGGCACAAGGCACAAAGAAAAGCACCAATGCACAAGGTGAGAAGGAAGGTGGGCGGGAAGATGAGCAGCAAGGCAACCAGGAAGGAGGTGGGAGGTGCGAAGACAAGCTGCAAGGCAAGGCAACAGGGCATCAGGCAAACAGGCAGACGCACACCTTACCAATCAGACAGGCACCACAGCACACAGCATGAGCAGGCAGGTGAGTGGAAGACAAGCAGCAAGGCAAAAAAGCAGGCAGGCGGCAATAATAGCAGCAATAGTTTGCTGCAGTACAACAGCGCGTAAGGCAAGTAAGCCATTGCGTGGCAAACAAGGCCCAAGGCAACCAGGCAGGCAATCAGTGAGGCAAGCAGAAGCAGCAAGGCAACAAGGCAAGTAGTCAGGTTGGTGGCAAGGTAAACAAACAAGGGGGCAACACCCAGAATAGAAGGGGCGTGTGTTTCAAAAAAAAAAAAGAAAACAATGCGGAAGGCAATGACATAGGCAAGCACCAAGACAAAAGGCTACAGGGCACGGCAAGGAGCGAGGCAAAAAAGGCACTTGTAAAACATGCACAGGCAAAAAGGCAGACACACATAGGCAAGCACCAAGACAAAAGGCTACAGGGCACGGCAAGAAGCGAGGCGAAAAAGGCACTTGTAAAACATGCACATGCAAAAAGGCAGACACACAGGCAATGCGCAGCTCACTGATATTGTCTGGATCAGAGCTGATTATCGTGTGCACCAAATGGAAAAGACTTCAGACAAAGAGCTACAGGGCACGGCAGAGGAGCAGAGGGCTCATGCCAACCTCAAAGCCAGGGACCCAACTACTGAAGTCTATCACCACACAAGGAACACCGGAGAGACATAGCCATGTAGGCATCACCCCTAGCAGTGTCCAAGGGGCTTCTTTCAAACACAGCGCAAAACAATTAGGCGCATCTCGAACGGGGTCTCTGTGCACAAGAAACGAACTGAAAACAAGGGAACGACAAGAAAGTGAGAACGAGGGAACAGCAAATGAACATATGATTTATGATTTGAAGAACATCTCAGGAACAAAACGAGTCAACACTCTGTGTGTGTGTGTGTGTGTGTGTGTGTGTGTGTGTGTGTGTGTGTGTGTGTGTGTGTGTGTGTGTCTAATTTGTCACTTGCAGGGGGTCTTCATGTACTGGCTGACATCAAACACCTTCTCACTTGCACAGGTGGGTGACCGGAGACTTGTGCTTTGTGATTTCCCCTCTTGCATCTGTATGTAGTATGTACGTGACACGTGGTTGTTTTTCAGTTTGCTGTTTGCATTTTCTCTAACTGACAAGAAAAAAGGCTGCCTAAAATACAATAGCATGACAATAGAGGGAGCACACCCTGTTCTTTTTTTTTATGGAATTAATAATTATGCTTATATGTTATCGATCAGCAAAAGGAGGCTGCGAATCCCTCCACAACTCAACCCGGTGTACTGGGGCCATTACCCAGCTTTGGCTTGGCTGGAAACCGGGTCCAGCATCCCCTTAGGCATAATTTTGAAAAAAGAAAAGATGGACAAGGAAAAGGACAAACCGGCCCCTCGGTTGTACTTAGGAACCGAAAGAGTTGACAATCCTACCCCCAGGTTGCACTTAAGAAATGTAAGAACTGACCCCTCTGCGGAGTGTCTCAACATGCTAAACCCCAACCCTACCTCTGTTTTCCCTCTGCCTAACTTCTCCCTCCCCTCTCTCTTTCCACCTATCCTCGCCTTAAACCCTAAACCCTACTGCTGTTGCTCCTCTTCTCCCACCCCCTCATCCTCTCTCTCTCTTTGAACGAAATTGCAACCGAGTTTTTTGGCCGAAAACTCGTCAAAATTTGCTTTTCCCGAGGGTCCAACGTTTTACAAACGCTGGACCCCCTGGCTGTACATGGACCTGCCTGGAGGTGCCTGGTCTCAAGCTAGGTCCATGTACAGCCAGGGGTTCCAGCGTTTGTAAAACGTTGGACCCTCGGGAACAGCAGATTTTGACGATTTTTCGGCCAAAAAACTCGGTTTCAATTTCGTTCCAAAAATGAAAGATGTCCATTTTGACGAAATGGCAGTTTTCCCCAGAATTCTGCGATCGAACCCGTTTTTCAAATCCTGTTCTTGTTCCGGTTGCTGTCTCATCTGCCGCTGTGCTGTTTTCCACTGTGCCCGGACGTCAGTTTCCATTAAGTTTAGGAAGACCTCCCTTGCTTCCTGTCTGTGCATCGCCCTCTTTTTTGTTGTGATCTGACAGCGTCTTTTCCAAATCGTCCATACTGAATGCTGTCTTATGAGCTGGAACAGCAGTTTCTCAAAGACTGGTCAATCTCTGGGGCAGTTGTGGCCTAGTAGCAGGGTCGCCTTTTCTTGTGGGAATGGCTTCTGTGTCATCTGCCTCCAGAGGGTTCTGGCTATTTCCCATTGGCTCTCTGCCTCATCGCATGTCAAAAGGCCATGTTCCATTGTTTCCACTGAGCCCTGCCGGCAAACTAAACACAAGGCGATGGAGGGGTCTCTCCTTGCTCGACTTCTCCTTTCGTTTAGCCACCAGGCGTTTACCGGTAGTGTGAGACATGTGCGATTAGCGATTGCATGCTCCAGACTCGGCCATGTCTTATCTTATTGATCAGTGCCCATGGTATTGATGGTAGTTGCTTCGGGGAGACTCCCGCTCTGTTTTCTTAACGCTTCATGAGTGCGGTCTTCAGGGGGCGGTGACGCCTTCTTAGTCGGTAACCGATTCGAGTTGTATTTTTGAGTATGTTGATTCTTCTGGACATTCTTAACCTCCCTCCTCTGAGATTCCACGACCACTCCGCTGGGTCTGTTTCCAGATCTTCTATTGGAGTGGTTGCACTGGTTGGGATAAATATCGTGAAGTCCTCCGTTTCCACTTCTCTTACTTTTTCTACTACTTGTTGCGCTTGAATAGTGACCGGGGTCTTGGATTCCTGGTCCAAGAGGCTGGTGGTACTTTCCGGGGTTGCGATGTTGTACATGTCTGCATTCAACCCCTCTTTCCTTGCTGGGTCTTGGCTCCAGATGCGGAATGCTTCTGTTGGTTCCTCTTCGTGCTTCCATGTGACCCAGTTGCCAACCGTCTTCACCCGAATAGAACGCCCGGCCATTATAGCTGTATTTGGTGCAACTTGCAGAGCATAATGACAGGGCGTTCTATTCGGGTGAAGACGGTAGTCCCCATTGAGTATCCTTTTTCAACATTGTCGTCCACTCATGTGGTATGGATGTGAGGATGTCGTTGAAGTTCTCAGTTAGTCTGTGGCATCCCTTCAGTTCCGCTCTGAGCTCCCTGGCCGTCTTCCATTGCTGTTTATCATTTGCCCAGAGGTGTTTAATCTGCCAGACTCCGTGTTCTACCCACTCGGCCCATTTTGTGTCTTTTTGCGTTAGTGTGAGGGGCTTACCCTGTGTGTCTTTGATGGCTGGGTTACAAAACATGGGCTGGCTCAGTACCTCCTCTCGAGTACGTGGCTCTCTGACATTAGCAGGAAATATTACTTTCCACAGTTTCAGTAGTTGCTCCCAATAAGAGCCCGCCCTGGTTCCGCCTTTGTCACTTGTCAGCTCTCGTGGACCTCTCCCTGCTTTGTCCCAGTTGCTGCACATTATCCAGAAGAGCCCAGACATGTTGGCTGGTGTAGTGTATTTCACCAGCTGTCTAATTCTGTCGAGGGCGAGTGGCACCCGCGGCAGACTTTGGTGGGTGATCAGTTTGACCACACATTTCGTTTGCAGAGCCTTGAGCTGCTGGTCTGGATCTATTATGCCTAGGCCTCCTTGTTCCTTAGGCTTTGTGACGTGCTTCCATGCGACTTTGGAAATGAAGCTAGGGCTGTTGGGATCGGAGGACCACAGGTATGCTGAAGCTCTTCTTCGTAGTGTTGCTGTCGTCTGAGCTGGGGGACTCCAGATTTCCCCCGCGTACCACAGCATTGAGAAAATGGACGCGTTTAGGTCCTTTAGGATGAGTGTTCTTCCAAATACGGAGGTGTAGATTGCTGACCATGCTCCCAGTTTTGCTAGGATCCTGGTCATCAGTTCCGCTGCCACGGAGTGCTGCAGGCCTGTTTCCGTTATCTCAACTCCCAAGTATATGAGTGGGGTTTGTGCTGTCACCCATTGTAGTCCTTCCGGGTTAATGGTGGGGTCCAATCACCCCCCTCTTACTGGGTCGTCAGCCACCAGCCCACGGTCTTTGGCGAGTTAATTTTCATTTCCGATGCTGGTTGGAAGGCCTCCATCGCCCTTGTCAATGCTTGGAAGGAGGAATCACATCCTCTGATCAACACCGTGATGTCATCCGCAAACATCAGAGTTGAGGGGAGCTGCACTTGCCTCCCCTGCTGATCGGCTGTCGTAGTCAATCGCTGTATCGAGGGGTCCTTCCTCAGGTACGAGGCGACCACCTCCATGATGGACAGGAAGATGGGGGCTGCTAGGGGATCACCCTGGCTGACCGAGCGTTGACTGTCGATGGAAGAATTAGAAGAAGCTCTCCAGTCCGTGGCTCCTAACAAGACACCGGGAAAGGATGGCCTGACTAGGGAGTTCTGGTTGGAATTCTGGCCGATCCTAGGGAAAAAATACGAAGCATTTTTAAAACAGGAATGGTAGAAAGAGGGATTGGCACAGGACCCAGCTACAAGAATAGTTACACTTCTGTATAAAAGTGGGGATCCGGCCGACATCCGTAACTATAGGCCGATAACCCTTCTAACATTGACGCACAAGATGATGGCTAAAACATTAGCTAATAGGCTTAGACGCTTCCATTTGGATCGGACCGGGTTCGTACCCAGAAGATTCATCTTGGACAACGTCATGACATTGTCAGAGTCAGTACGATATATCAAGGATAAAAGAATAAACGCAGCAATCCTCTTTTCGACTTTGAAAAGGCCTACAATCAAGTGAATTGGGACTTCCTTCAACAGTGCATGCATGAAAAGGATGGGGGTATGACCGAATTTTCGAAAGTAGGTCAGGGTCCTATACAACGACGCACAAGCACACACCCTGTTCTCCTCTTCCAAAAAGGATAATATTCTAATGTGATATGTGGAAGGACAGCAGTTCACACACCTTTAGTCTGGGGAGTTTCCTCATATCCATTCCCTTCCCCCCTCCCCCCCTTTCCCCCCGCCCCCCTTTCACAATCAGAACTCTGGAAGTCTAAAGAGGGGAGAGGAGGGGCCCTGGAGATGGAAAAGAATGCCATTCATGCAAACTCTATGAAAGCACTGAACTTTTTTTTTGTTTGTTCATTGCAGGGACAATTCTTTCTGGATAAATCAACCTAAACCATGTGGCTGAACCGTTCGACACACATGTAACTGTTAATAAACATGTCATGAGTTCAAACTTTTTTTTTTTTTTTTTTTTTAAAACGCCTGAGGGCCTGTTAGAGGTGCTGATATGAGCAGTCACCCCTACCATTCCCAGGAGGCTCCATCTATTGGTGGGGAGCTGCACCTGCTGGAAACCGGGTCCAGCGTTCCTGAGTATCAGTACATATCTGTTGTCAAAGACTGCCTGCCAGCATTGATTACCCTGAACCCAGGGGATTGACTGAACAGGCCACAAGTGAGGTTGAGGGGAAAACTTTAACCGGAAGGACTCTTCACCCTGCTGATGGGTGCCTGACTAGATTGGCTATCTATCCTCATCTCTCCCCTCCATAGCAGCACTAATGATGCCTAACCCCTCCCCCTTTTGTACCACATGTCATCACTCCATTCCATACCACTGCATTCCAACTAAGCAGTGTGAAGGGGGGGTGAAGAAATCGGGAAAGTTTTCCGGTGGTTTCAGTGGAATAGCTGTGTCACTCAGTACATATCTGTTTTCAAAGACTGCCTGCCCGCATTGATTACCCTGAACCCAGGGGAATGACTGAACAGGCCACAAGTGAGGGTGAGGGGAAAATTTTAACCGGGAAGACTCTTCACCCTGCTGCTGGGTGCCTGACTAGATTGGCTATCTATCCTCATCTCTCCCCTCCATAGCAGCATTAATGATGCCTGACCCTTACCCCTTTTGTACCACATGTCATCACTCCATTCCATATCACTGCATTCCAACTAAGCAGTTTGAAGGGGGGGGGAAGAACTTGGGAAAGTTTTCCAGTGGTTTCAGGGGAATAGCTGTGTCAATGTCAGTCCAGTTGTGGAACGTTAGTTTGTAATCCCTTACTATTTCCGTCCTCTCATGGCCCTCCTCAATTTCCGGTTTGGCCCCATTCCATTCCACCTTCCCTATCTTCCCACCGGTAATCCCTCCCAGCCAGCTTGAAGAGAATGTTTGGATTCTTTGCTCAATATCTTTGTTTGTGTTCAGGGAGCGGATTTGTGTTCTGACGTGTTCTCATTTTGCCGTTATTTCGATTTGAATCTGTTGCTGTACACTCTCTGTAAATTCAGGCCCTTCTAATCTTGCTCCTTCCATCTCATATGTGCAGCGTCTTCTCCATAATGCCCAGAGCACCGCCCTGCGTCCCAGTCTAAACAGACCCTCATGGAATCAGAGAGGGATATAATACTGTTAGGGGCTACCCCCTTTTGAGAAAAGAAAAAATTATGGATGTAATCTCAGTGAGACGTACTGTTTGTGTTGGGTATGCGTCCTGTGTGCTGCACTCTGTTTTCCCAGTCGCTAGCTTTACGTCAGAGCTCTGTCCGCCAGTTTCTCCAGCTGCCGTCCCTTCCTTCTGCAGGTGTCCATGGAGGCCGCTCGTATGACACCCTCAGTGGAAATATAAGAGTGCTCGACTTGGAAAGAATTAAGGCAATGAGCGCTGACCAACTTGTTGAGGTAAGAGGAAGTCATAACTTAGATCCCTGAAATTTCAAATGTTAAAGCCTAAGGGGCCTAGTAAAGGCCCTAAAGTATTTGTTTTTGTTTTTTTTTTTGTTTTTTTTTGGGTGTGATCGCTTCGGGACATCCATTAAAATTGGAACAATACAGAGAAGATTAGCATGGCCCCTGCGCAAGGATGACACACATAAATCCAGAAATGGTCCAAATTTTTAAGGGGAAAAAAAATATATTCTGCTTACATCATCGGAGATTGGCGGATTCGAGGGAACGGTGGAACGCAAACAGGTGTACAAACTTACAAAGTGAAGCAGATGCAACAGGAGACAGGTACTCTTCATGCAGTGAAACATATACGACCCAGACGATGGGGACAATAAAGAGATACACAATTCATACTCATCAAATAAAAAGTTGCATCACATCAAAATCGCAGTAAGATAATAACAACCTAGGCAACCAGCTGGGCCACCCGGGTCACCCTATTTTACCCGGGCGGCCCGGCCGTGCAAGGACTAGGGAAGGTCCCAGCCAAAAAAAAAAAAATCCAAAAAAACTCCGAAACAAAAACTATGTTATGCAGAAAAAAAAAAAAAAGGACGGGAGCGCGAACGCCGGTCCGGTAAGCGCTACCACGGAGCGCTAATTTGCGTACCCGCACGGTCGTGATTTTTCGCTCCAGGCAGAATTCGACGCGCGCGTGGTGTGGCGCGCATTTCCACTTTCCAAATTCGAGTTGTCACGGGAGAGAAAGCAAGAGTGAGCTCGCGTGACGCCACGTCACGCCACGCCCCAGGGAGTGGCACCCTCAAGCCGGACAAGAGACAAGCAACACACAAGGGAGAGAAGGAGAAGGAAGAGGGGGCTACACCAGCGAAAAACAAAGGGAAGCAGCGACCTAAAAATAGGAAAGGACAAAAAAGCCAAGAGAGGGAAGGAAAAGAAGGGCGGCTGAACAACAATGTGGGCTTCATCATCACGACCCCCAAGGTTAGAGCGGCCCTTCGGGATCCGAAAGGTAAGTTCCAAACGACCTTCACCCTGCCTCTATCGCGCGAAGAGACAACAGAGGGACAACGTAAGGACGAGAGAGAACGCAACCTTTCAAGAGGGAGAGAGAGCCAGCCATTAACGAAGCACGCATAGGACAAAGGAGCGAGTGATGATAATGAGTTCAAACGTACTGAGCTAGGAATTCCCACTACGCACCCGCAACAGAAAAGACATAGCAAGCATTTGGTAACTTTTGAAAGAATTTAACACCTAAATCATGATAGATCCAAGACAGACAGGAAGCACAACCCATCTTAATCCTTTTTCGATACATAGACTGAGGAATTCGTAAGCAAGTTTGTTGTCGCTAGCAGAGAACTGTGCCTCTAGGAAATTCGAACATCCCGCCGACAACAGCGGAAGCGCTTAAGACGTTTGGAACGGCCCTCAACCCCCATCCCCGCGCTGCTTTACCTTGTGTCATCCCTCATCAGCAACACCGCCAACCATCATTTTACCCACATCGCCCAGCAACGCGCACCAGTTTCATCAACACAACGCATTGACGACTCCATACCAACACCACCCCACCTACCGCTCTACCTCCCACCCCCATTCACATACCCCGATCTCGCACCCGAACACGAAGACGCTTAGAAAGTGAAAGCGGGAAACGAACTCTACCAAGGGAAAAATAAGTCGACGAAAAAGGAAACACGCAAAGCCATCAAATTCACAGGTCGGTCGAGAAGAAGGATTCACATCTTTCTACTATTCACAAATAATCTATTTATTATTTATTAAATCTTCACTACACTTTCCTCATTAGCTGTCGGACGAATTGAGAGAGAGATTCACTTAATTTAAACTAATCATTATCTCTATCTCTATACTCCTAAAGCAAGCAAAGGGCCCAGCGTGAAGCGTCCCGCCGGGCCCAGCGAAAATCGGTGGGGAGGGTCGCGGGACCTGGGCAAGGAAAATCGGCGAGGCGTTTCGTGGAGGCGCGGTGCGGCATTTCGCGGCGGCACTAGAGACCGCAGCGCGAGGAAATTGGCGGTGGCAGTTTGTGGAGGCCCTGGGAAAGGGAAAAAGGGCCTGGCGCGGCGTTTCGCGGAGGCACCAGAGACCGCGGCGCGCGGAAATTGGCGGTGGCGGTTCGTGGAGGGCCTGGGCAAGGGAAAAAGGGCCAAGGCGACAAGGGCACGCCGACTTTTTTGCGTGGGTGCGGGGTGGTACGGTGCGGTGCGTGCGAGTGCCGCGGCACATGTTTTGCATGGGTGTGGGGTAGCACAGTGCGGTGCGTGCGCGGGCCCGCAGGCATTTTTCCCCGGTCGCGGGACGACACAAGGTCTGCAGGGGGGATAGGGCCTACAGTCCGTGAGGTCTGGCCGTTGGCAGGAACGATGCACGCAGCGACCATAGGGGGGGTGCGGCCTACGGTCGGCGAGGTCTGGCCGTTCGCAGGAACGATGCACGCAACGGCCATCTTTTACGAGAGAGAGAGAGAGAGAGAGAGAGAGAGAGTACTTGGATCGATGAGAGAGAGAGAGAGAGAGAGAGAGAGAGAGAGAGAGAGAGAGAGAGAGAGAGAGAGATAGAGAGAGAGAGAGATAGAGAGAGAGATAGAGAGAGAGAGAGAGAGAGAGAGAGAGAGAGAGAGCTGTCTCTTATACACATCTAGATGTGTATAAGAGACAGGATATGAGCAGTCACCCCTACCATTCCCAGGAGGCTCCATCTATTGGTGGGGAGCTGCACCTGCTGGAAACCGGGTCCAGCGTTCCTGAGTATCAGTACATATCTGTTGTCAAAGACTGCCTGCCAGCAT